AGCTCTTCGCAGCGCTGTGGGGCTCGGTGGGCGAACAGTACCCGCAGACGTCGCCAGCGGCCGAACACGTGGCAGTTTTGGCTGCCACAAAACATTGTCCTAGAGCCACGAGGATCCACTCGGACTTCCTCGGCGTCGTCGAACTCGGGGAAGCCCCGTGGTCCCAGATGGTGTCAAGACACCACATCTACGCGGGCATGCGCGTTCAGATAAGGAGTTCGCCCACATGGACGCGTGGCCTCTCCATTCACAAGGTTGCGGCCCACGTGGATCCAGACGGCCTCGAATTGTTTTCGAGGGAGTGGTTTTTGGCTAAGGGCAACGACTATGCTGACAGATTCGCCAAGCGTGGTGCCGCACTACTGGCACAACCATCCCAGGCTGAGAAACAGGATTATCAAGCTGATTCGGTCACGTTGCGTAGGTACCTCAAGTACATTTCCCAGGCGCTCCTGTTATACCCGCGGCAGGCGCCCACCAAGCAGCATCGCTCTGTATTTCAGAAAACACGGCGCGAGGCGGACTTCAGGTCGGGCGCAAGGTCGGCCAGGGACGCCCTGCCGGTGCCGCCCGCAGAAGCCCCAGCCGCTGTGGCAGCCCCAGGGGCTAGGCTGCAGGCACGAGGGGCGCGTGCGGGCCCCCTGCTACCGCCACCCCCGCCGCTGGTGGCCGCAGGAGCCACATCAGGAGGCGTGCTGCGGCCGGCGTCCTCCGTCACGCAGGCGCCGGCCCCTGAGATAGAGGGCCGCGCGAGGGCCCACCAGTGGAAATTTGTGAGGCCAGGTCTATGGTCCTGCCGAGTGTGCTACAGGAGAAGCTGGTCAGTTTCGCCTTCACAGTCAGCGAGGTGCGTAGGATATAATGCTGCATTCAGCGCCATAGCAGCAGAACCGCGCAATCATAGAGTATACATAGCCTGCCACGGCGACGATAATCTTATTTTTGTCTGCAGCTCTTGCGGGTCCATCTGCCAAGGTCGGAAATCGGTTGGGCTTTCGCGCAACTGCAAAGGTAGGTACACGAGCGATCACAACAGGAGCAAGTAGTCTAGCATAGTGCAGGAATATACCCCTTTTGAAAAACCTGCATTATATTGCCCCGGACCTTACAGGGGTAGTGGAAAAATGCGTTTTAAAAACGCGTAATGCTCGCCGATCTGCCGGAGAGCCTGAAAAGCCCAGTGCTTATGAGGACCCCCTGTCGGTTCCCCCATTGTCCGTTTCAGCTTTGCGCCACCCACAATCCCATTTAGTGGGATAGCGTCGTTGGCCATCATAAGCCCTCATGCGTTGCCTGTTGCCTAATGCATGCTGGGACCTTGTCCCCTCGTGCGTTGCATGCTGATGCCGGGGCGTTCGCCCCTCAAGAGCACCCAATTCAGTGGTGGTGGCATCCAGGCCCCCCGCCCTAATCGAGGGGGCCCTGGCTGTCATTCAGGGGCGCCAATGGGCCATGCACACCCCGACCCCCCCGCTGACAATCGGGAGTCCGAAGCACTTCTTGAGCTGCGCGACCGCATCCCTGTCTATTCGTGCCTGGCCCCCGTGTCTTAGTGGACCTCTGCCCCCGCAAGTTCACTTCCCTTCGGGATGCCACCCCCTAGGAGCCCAGATCCGGGGATCGCTAAGAAGGGCTGCGGGGTGAGGAGGGAGGGTAAGGAGGACCACCAGTCGGACCAGTAGGATTTCTGCCTGCAGGAGATTGTGTGTTCGGCCCCTGCGCCTTTGCTGGCTTTGTCAGGTCCGTGGATCCGTACCCTCCCCAGTTTTGGGTCTTGATTTGGGCCCCCCCTGTTCGCTCAGCCCTACCCCGAGGGTCCGGCGAATGGGGAACCCATTCTTGCACCCAACTGTCAGTCCGTGCTAATCCTCCTCCCTCCTCCTCCTCCTCCTCCTCCTCCCGCTGATCTCCTCCTCCTCCTCCTCCTCCTCCTCCTCCTCCCGCTGATCTCCTCTCGGGGGTTGCGAGAGGTGCCCCTGGCTACGGTGCCTCCACTTTGCGCTCCATCTTGGAGCCCCCGAGACCCTCGGGACGCCGTGAGGGGTTGCTCCGGAGGTCGTGAGGGCCTCCTTGGCAAACCCTGGAGGGCATTTTGGGCCAAGGGCACTTCTTGCAACGCCCGATTTTCCTCCTCCCCAGACTCCCCTCATTCACGGTCTTCCCCGTTCGCTCCTCATTCTCCCCATCCCACTCCTTCAATAACACCCGCACCCCTCCTCTCTCGCATTCCCTCCCCTCACTCCTCCTCCCCTCCTCTCTCCCTCTCCCCTCTCTCAACTCCCTTCCTCCCCATCCACTCTCCCCTCTCCCCCCTTTCCCATCTCCTCCACCCACCTCCACTCCTTCAATACCCTCCTATCTCCATTCATCCGCCTCCTCACAAAGGGCTTCCCCTGTCTTAAACCTACACCTGAAACGTTAAAATCCGCCGACCCAATCAGCGTGTGAGAGGCTTTTCCGTGTTTGTCGTCGGCGTCTTTGTCGTCTCTGTCGTATTTGTCTTTGTCTTTGTCGTCGTCATTGTCGTCGTCGTCGTCGCCTTCACCGCTCCCCCCCGTCACTGTCCGTGGGTCCTCCTGTTCAAACGTCCCAACCAACGAGAAATCGAACAACGTCGTAACCGAGACGCAGGGAAGCCCCTCCCCTTGATTCCCTTTCCCGCTGGGCGAGGTGGTCTCGGGAGGAGCGGGGGGCGGCGGGGCCCGGGGGTTGTGATCCCCCCCGTGGGGGAACACCCAGCTTTCCCCTTGGATTCCGTCCCTCCCAGATGCCTCCAGCTCCCCCAGGGTCGGCGGCACCGGCCGCAAGGCTTTCACCATCGATTCCTCCTTCTCCTGCTCCTCCCCTTCCGTTGTTCGATGTTGATGTTTGCCTGTTTTCTCCCTCTCTCTCTCTCTCTTTCCCTCCCTCTCTCTCTCTCTCTATTTACCATTATCTATTTCTCTCTCCCCCCTCTCTCTCTCAGCTGGTGTGGGGGCTGCCTCCGGGGAGACGCCCCGACAGCGGGTGCCTCGCGCTGGCCCCGGGCAGGGCGGGGCACGCGGGGGCCCCGATCGGCGACGACGCGCGAGCGACGCGCGGGCGCTTCGGGGTCGACGTGTGGGTCGCTGTGCAGGCTTTCGTTCGGGGGTCGAGTTGGATGGCTGTGGGGGGCCGAGTGGGGGTCGAGAAGGGGGGGGGGCCGAGTGGGCGAGTGGGGGTCGATGGGGTCGCTGTGTAGACTTTCGTTCGGGGGTCGAGTGGGGTGGCTGTGGGGGGGGCCGAGTGGGGGTCGAGAAAGGGGGGGGGGGGTCGAGTGGGCGATTTTGGGGGAGGGTCGGGGGTGGTTTTGGGGGTCGATCGGGGGCCCGGCGTCGGCTCGCTCTCTGCACTCAGGTGGCCGCAGCCGTTCTGGGGGCGGCGCGCGTCGTCTCTGAACGGAGCCAGAAACGTCAATCGGGCGCGCGCCAACATGGATCACGGATCCGTCGATCTGGAACATGGGCGCCAGCTCCACGTCCTGAGGCGTACTGCCCTAGTGCAACAGATTCCGTGCGTCCAGTCGTAAATACAACTGCACATCACATCTGTTGTATTGCTTCATTGCATGACGTATCCCCGCTGCGCCCCCACCCGTCCACCAGAGCCACGTCCCATCCACGGGCCAAAGATGGTGGACCCCTTCTGGGATTCAAAGACGTACCGAAAACCCATGGGAAATCATTTGTTTGGGCTTCTTTGGCTCCCTGGGAGTCGCAGAAGGCCTAGAGACAGCTCTGGAGGGTGTCGAGACTGCCCAGGATGGCTACAAGACGACCCAAAATGACACGGAAACAGCTAGGACCACAACACGGCCCAAGAGGCCGTCAAGACGGCCCACGAGTGTTCTAAGAGGACCCTCAAGAGGGTTCCAAAAGAAATGAAAGCATTGATTCGTACATCAAGTGTTGGAGCGATGTTGCAATTCTCGCCTTCTCGTCGGGCTTCCGACACCCCCAGACAGCCCCAGGAACAGCCACAATTGCCGAAAGACGGCTCGAGCAGCCCCCCGAAGGGTGCCCCAGGACGGCCCAAAGAGGGGACCCAAGGCGGCCCGAGGGGCCACCCAAACAGCCCCAAGACGGGCCAAGTGAACATCACGACGGCGGGCGCGCGCGGATGTTGATTGGAAACGGGTCCCGTCGCGGATCCACGCACCTTACTCCATGCTTGGGTTTCGTCGCCTGCAGCGCAAAGATCCCCATCACACATCGCACCGCTGTGACAAGTCCATTCCGTTTCCGTCGACTTGATGCATTGCGCCAGATCGAAAGATCAGAGCCAGAATTCACACCAAACTGTTCGTCACGCATGCTCGGGGGCAGGACGAGAGGAGAAGGGACGAGGAAGTGGAGGAGGAGGAGGAGGAGGAGGAGCAGGAAGAGGAGGGGTGACGAGGGAGGAGGTGAAGGGGGGCGCCGAAATGCCGGGGTTAGTGGCAAAGGTGAGGCACCAAATAAAACACACGCACACAAACACATAACAATACACGCGCACACTTCCCCACAACGCTTAAGAAACGTAAGGCCGTTCTCCTCCTCAGGTCCTCCTCCTCATACGGGAATGCACCAGGGCCACTCATCCATCTGAATTGATATGCTGCCGAATTGCAAGTCCGCGGTTCCTGACCGCGGCCGCTAGAAAGCATCGCATTCCGTTGGCGTGCTGAATTGCTGGGCAATGCAAACCGGTGGCTAGCATACTGCCAGCCATGTTTTATTCAGCTGGCGTATTGAATTGCATGCACCATCCATGCCTGCCACAAGGCACCCGCTATGCACGTTTCTCCCACCTCATCCATATCCTCCTCCGTGTTTCGCATGAGTTCCGGTTTCGAAGGCTCATCATCCTCGAACTGCTCTTTATATTCCTCATCCGCCTCGTCCTGCACTTGCGGTCCATGCTTATCATCAATCACGTGACGCTCCATCTCTTGTGTTCTCCGTTGATGTCCGGTCACTTTTCCATAAGTTCATCTTCTGGCCCCTCCTCCCATTCAACTTCTCCTCCCTTCAACTGCAACCATTGAAAACACCAACTCGTGAGTGAGCGGAATGATGGGCTGGAAAATGCAGGAACTCAATACAACTTCCTCAATTCCGCCTTGCCGTCGCCAAGAGGCACCTCGATGCTGAGCTGAGGCACCGGCTCACCTGTGGCGCCGCTGACGAGAGGCATCACCGGGAAGGGGCCCTCGCCGTACTGCAGCCTGCAAAAGGGAAGGGTAGGAGAATGAGGATGGGGAGGACGAGGAGATGAGAAGGAGAAGCGGATGACGAAAAAGATCACAAGACAAGGGCAGTGCACGCAGTGGGCATGCGCGCTGTCCCCTTCGTAGAAATAGTACCTCTCTGCTGCGAGGATAATTATGATGGTTGTCCAGACGTGCTCGCGAGGACCGAGTCCTCGCAACATGTGGTCGAACGACATGACTGTTCCCATTATCAGAGCGTTGGCCACGGTGCGAGGCGGGGATACATCCATATGCACAGACTGCCCAGAGGGCCCTAATATATCCACATCCATCCCCTGCCGAATTATCCGAAGGGGGATCCCCGAGGCGGTGGTTCAGGATAAATCCCCGCCTCGGACAGAAGCATCCTGGGTGACGACCATGTCGTCTCCGAAAGCCTGACATGAGCGACGATCAGAAACGGGTCTTCCGCGAGATGACGTAGCGCGCCATTGCGCGGCGGCTTACGCGGGCCGCCAGCGCGGGCCGCCAGCGCGGCACGTTGCATTCGAGACGAGGGCGCTTACGCGCGACCTTACGCGGGCAGCTCACGCGCGAATGTCGGCGCAGTGGAACCCCTCACCCTTTGGGAGGGGACCTCAGTTAGGACGGCCAAAAGCATTGGGGGTAGGGGTTCTTTGTCTGCAGCTGTATCGAACCATACCGCCCAGATCCCAGATCTGTGATCGCTAATGCAAGGGCGGAAACCTACGTGAGGCCACGTCTTCACAGCGTTGTTCGGGTTAGGGGCCCTTCTGCTATCGATGACTCCTCGTCGCTCACATGGCATCCCCTACGGAGAACTCTCGGGCATCCCTGGCGACGGGCAAGGGCCGACCAGCTCACACACGGAGGCGGCCTTGGCGCTGGGACCTCGAGGCGCAGGGTCCAAACAGGGGCGAGAGGCAATCAAAAAAGTACAGATGCAGAAGGGAGGCCGTTCGTAGGATCGACCTCCGAGGACCTTAACACAAGGCCAGCACGAGGATAAAATTGGGTGAAGATAAACGAGAATCCCTGAGATATGGCGGAGGCCTTCTCAGAGCATTCCGGCACGCTCTGGAACGGATTCATCCTCGTCCTAGCCCCGTCCGAGCGTGAGACAGTTCGAAGGATCGGTGTCGGAGGATCTGGGGAGACCAAGAGGTACCGATACCGCCACTCCCCAGAACTCCCGCGGAGTGTGTTCTGACCAGAATTGCGAAGCGAATTCAGCGGTGGCGACGAGGGCCTCCCAGGAGGCCCAAGGAGGGGAAACAAGGAAAGAGGGGCGATATGGGTAGCTCTTCCTCCTCTGAGGATCTGGGATTGGAACGCCTGACTGGCATGGGCACGAACAAGCAAATGCGGTGCCCAAAACAAAAGTTGCCCAAAACCGGCAGCGCCCGCTGTTGGACAAGCGCCTGTTGTCTCAAAGGGACAAGAGCCGCGGCGACGCCGACGACGGATTCTGTTCAAATGAACAGCATCTGCTGTAGATCCTACTCTGAACTGTTTCAGTGCTCGTTGCTCGGGTCGAACGAAGAAGAGGTAGTAAAGAGGGGGTTCGCGAATGAGCTCGCGTGGCCGATTTTCCCAGCGCCTCCAAGCGCCCGAGGCGCAAGTGCAACGAGGAAAACGCCCAGCGGCGGGGCAGGCGCGCAAATTACAGTATCCTGATAAGGGGAGGTAGCGACAAAATTAATCATGCAGGGCAGCATGGCGATCCTGGCGTCGATTTCTGACAAAAAATGGACTGCTCAATCTTGGAACGATCGACGGCTTTTCCGATCGCCACATGGTTCCATACCCATCGGTCGGAAGAAAAGGGATCACAGCATGCAGTCTGAGGGCGGTGACAAAAAAGTGGGTCTCCGCACGCCCCCCTGAGGAAGGGAAAGGTAAAACCACTCGAAGATTGAATTATGAAGGCACTTGAAAAAGATTGCCGGACGGCCGGCGGCGAGGAAGCGTTGCACGCCTTGTGGCATCAAGGGCAGAACGTTTGATTGGTTTTGGTGTGCGAGTTTTATGATGCTGATTTTTATGATTCATTTTAGGGAGGAATTGCGAAAGCTCGGCCCCCGCCGCCTGCCCTCCAGGTGGTGTCGTCGCTCCCTCTTCCGCCGTGCTGCGTCGCTCCTCTGCCCGCTCTCCCTCCTGCTCGTCCCTCAGGCTGTCGCCCGGGCTTCGTCCTCCTCCCCCCCCCTTGTCGTCTTCTGTCGCTTGCCCTCCTCCTCCCCCCGGCTCCGGGTTCGCCCTGGACCCCGGGTGTCGTTCCCTCCTCTGCCCCCCTGCTGCGGTTGCTCTCCCGGGTCGTCCACCTTGCGGGGGGCAATTTTGGCGAGCCGGGTATGCATGACGAGATTGGCAAGCCTTCCCTGTGCATGGAGCCAGCGACGCCGGAGGCTTCGCATCGCATTTCGCTCGGGTTTCACACCCCTTTTTGCCAATGCACCTCTGACGTGCACGGCTTCTCTCTCTCTCTCTTGAAAAAGATTGGGATCTGGGAGTCCAGAAATGCAAACTTTCAACGACCGATGGGTACCGGCTGATTCTAGGAGGAGGAGGATGAGAAGCAGCAGGAGGAGGAGGAGTGAGGATGGATGAGGAAAGGGTAGGAGGAGGAGGAGGAGGAGGAGGAGGAGGAGGAGGAGGAGGAGGAGGAGGGAGGATGAGAGGGAGGAGGAGGAGGAGGAGGAGGAGAAGGAGGAGGAGGAGGAGGAGGAGAAGAGGAGGAGGAGGAGGAGGAGGAGGAGGAGGAGAAGGAAGAGGACGAGGACGAGGACGAGGAGGAGGAGGAGGAGGAGGAGGAGGAGGAGGAGGAGGAGGGAGGAGGAGGAGGAGGAGCAAGAGGACGGATGAGGAGCTGGGCCTCTGGCGGCGAACGCCCACGCAAGGAGTCGCTGCCGCGCCTGCAAGACGCCCTCCCGCCGTAAGCATACCCTTCCCGAACGTGCCGACGGGACGCGCTTTTGGCACTGAGACTCGCAGGGAAGGGGAGGATAGAAGAAACACAGACGCCATACACATAAACTTCTGGCGCTCCGCGTGGATTTTTTGGTTCTGCGTCGGCGCGGGAGGCGCCGCCAGGGGGGCCCCAGAGCGGATCCAGGAAATCCGCGCGGAGCGCCGAAAGCTGATGTTTGTGGCCCTTTCCTTCTTCCAGAGGCGGCGGCAGCGAAGGGTGGCCTCTGGCACCGAGCCGATCGGTCGGCCTTGGAGCGAGCGGCGGCCTATCGATCGCCACACAGTTCCACGTCGGCGGCGTTCGTTCTTAAGCGCCCGCGGCAGGGTCACAACCGCGCCAGCACGACATGAACCACCTGCCGTACACCTGCCCCCGTTCCCCAGTCCACCGTCCCCAGCGAGAGCGGAGGGGGGGGGGGGAAGAATCGCGCTTCCCTCCTGCCTGCTCTCTGCCCGAATGGGTTCCCTCCTCCGTTGCCGCCTTCGCCTCCTCTTCCTCATCGTCCTCCTCCCTCCTTCTCCTCGTCCTTCCACCTCCTCTTCCTCCTTCTCCTCCTCCTCGACCTCTCAATCCTAATTCCTCCCTCCTCCGTCCTCCTCCTCCTCCTCCCTCTTCCCTCTTCCTCCTCCTCCTCCTCCTCCTCCTCCTCTTCCTCTTCTGCCCTCCTCTTCCTCCTCGTCCTCTTCCTGCTGCTCCTCCTCTCCTCCTCCTCCTCCTCCTCCTCCTCGTCCTCCTCCTCCCCCTTCTCCTCCTCCATCCTCCCTCCTCCCTCCTCTCCTCCCTCCTCCCTCCTCTCTCCTCCCTCCTCATCCTCTTCCCCCTCCTCCTCCCTCCTCTCTCCTCATCCTCTTCCCCTCCTCTCCTCCTCCTCCTCCTCCTCCTCCTCCTCCTCCTCCCCTCCTCCCCTCCTCCTCGTCTCCTCCTCCCTCCTCCTCCCTCCTCCCTCCTCCCTCCTCCTCCTCCCTCCTCCTTCCCTCTCCCTCCTCCCTCCTGCCCCTCCTCCGTCCTCCCCCTCCCCCATCCTCCTCCTGCTCCTCCCTCCTCCTCCTCCTCGTCATCATCATCATCATCATCCTCCTTTTCCTCTTTCTTGTTCCTCTTCCTCCTCCTCCTCCATCACCTCCACCTTCTCCTCCTCTTCCTCCTCCTGTTCCCCCCTCCTCCTCCTCCTCCTCCTCTTCTTTCTCCTCCTCCTCCTCCTCCTCTGACACTCCTTTTCCCTATACATAATGTCTCCCTGTCGCACCCAGAGGCCAGTTTTTCGGACGGGCCGGGGCGTTTCGCCTGAGACTGCCTCATCATGTATGACTACGCAGCTCAAACCATAACAGCAGCTTCACAAATGGATGGCGGGTCGTGTTCAACATGTGGCACGCGCCGCAGCGCGGCGCACATTCGTGTTGAACATTTGCAAACTTTTCACGGACTGACTTTAAACAATGACAAACGATTCACGGATTGATGGCGGGCCGTTTTCGAAATGTGGCTCTCGCCGTAGCACGGCGCACATTCGTCTTGAACATTTGCAACAGTTGCACGGATTGCGTGTGGGTGGTTTTCAAAATGTGGTTATCGCCTGAGCGCGGGGCACGTTCGCTTTAAACACTCACAAGCGATTCACGGGTTGAGGGCGGGTCGTTTTCAAAATGTGACTCTCGCCTTAGCGCGGCGCACACTCGTTTTAAACATGTGCAAGGGTTTCACTGATTTCGGGCGGGTGGTTTTCAAAATGTGGCTCTCGCCTTAGCGCGGCGCACATTCGTTGGAACCATTTGCGATTCACGGATCGAGGGCGAGTGATTAACTGATTAAAGACGGCCCCTTTAAACAATGAGGCTGTCACCTTTGCGCGGCGCACATTCGCTTGAAACTGTCACAAGCGATTCACGGATTGCGGGCGCCCCGTTTTCAGAATGTGGCTCTCGCCTCACCGCGGCGCACATTCGTTTTAACAATTTGCGACTCACGGATTGAGGGCGAGTGATTTTCAAAATGTGGCTCTCGCCTGAGCGCCGCGCGTAGTCTTTCTCAAACGTTGCAAGAGCTATACTGATTAAAGACGGCTCTGTTTCCAAATGTGATGTTCGCCTCAGTGCCGCGCACACTCGTCTTAAACATTTGTAGGGCATCCCACGGATTCCCATGATCAACGCAACAGAAACGGTGCTTTCCACGGATTCAGGATTATGCGGGTGCAACAGTTACGTTGGTTCGCGGTGGTGTAATCCCAAATATGGCTTTCTGATACAATTCTGGATCGGACGCAGCAGTCAGATTAATATGTGTCGTTGGAATCCAAAGAACAATGTTTTGGCAAGCTTCAGGGTCTTCAAACGGGCGCCTTCCAACGAGGCAGTTCCATCAATGGAAAAGATCCGTTGTAGGGGGGCTATGTCGAGGGAGCTTGGAGGGTGGGTTTACGCCACCATCGTGGGTGACCCTTGGGTTTACAGTGGTCCCCCTCCTCCTCCTCCTCCTCCTCCTCCTCCTCCTCCTCCATTCCTTTTCCTTATGAATAACTTCTCCCAGTCGCAAACCGAGGACAGTTTTTAGGGCGGGCCGGGCGTTTCGCCTGAGACGTCCTCACCATGTATGATTGTAAAGCTGATAAGAATAACAGCCGTTTCAGAGATGGAGGGGAGGCCGTTTTCAAAATGCGGTTCTCGCCTAGCGCCACGCGCATTTTTCGTACAAAGATACAATGAAAAGGGCTTTCCAGATTGAGGGCGGGTGGTTGCCAAGATGTGGCTCTCGCCTCAGCGCGGCGCGCACTCGTTTTAAACTTGTGCAGGAGTTTCACGGGTGTCGGGCGGGCGGTCTTCAACATGTGGCTCTCGCCTTAACGCCGCGCGCATTCGTTCCAAACAATTGCGCAAACTTCACGGATTGAGGGCGGGTGGTTTTCAAAATGTGGCTCTCGCCGCAGCGCTGCGCACAGCGGTTCCTTCTCAAAATGTGGCTCTCGCCTTAGCGCGGCGCACCTTCGTGTTAAACATTTGCAAGAGTTTCACGTATTACCATGACCAGCGTATCAGAAATTGTGTTTTGGACGGATTCAGGATTATACGGTCGCCACAAATATGTTGATTCGCGGTTGGTATCCCAAAAATGACATTATGGCAGGAGTCCGGATCGTCAAGACGCAGCAATCAGGTTGATCCGGAGCGTTGAAATCCCGAGAGCCATGTTTTGGAATTCTTCAGGATCTCCGAACGATTGTCTTCCAATGGGGCAGTTCCCTCAATGGAAATCAACCGTTGTAAGGGCCTATCACGAGGAAGCTTGGAGGGAGGGTTACTTCAACTATCGTTGATGACTCTTGGGTTTACACTGGGCATCCTCCTCGTCCTCTTCATCCTCCTCCTCCCCCTTCCTCCTCCTGCTCCTCCTCCTCCTCCTCTTCCTCCTCCTCCTTCTCCTCCCTCCTCCTCCTCCTCCTCCTCCTCCTCATCATCCTCCTCCTCTCCTCCTCCTCTCCTCCTCCTCCTCCTCTCCTCTTCCTCCTCCTCCTCCTCCTCCCTCCTCCTCCTCCTCCTCCTCCTCCTCCTCCTGCTCATCCTCCTCCTCAACATCTTCCTCCTCCTCCTCCTCCTCCTCCTCCTCTTCCTCCTCCTTCCCCCTCCTCCTCCTCCATCTCCTCGTTCTCCTCCTCCTTCTCTTCCTCCTCCTCCTCCTCCTCCCTCCTGCGCCCCTGGACCCCCCTCTTCCCCGAGGCAGTCTGCCCCCCCGGGGCGCGGCGCCGCGGCGCAGCCTGCCCGGCCACGGGCTGTCCACCCCCAGCGCGCCGACCTTGATCGTGGCGTTCAGCTGAACCTTCGCGGCCCGCGTTCGGCGCGCGCCCTCGGGGACGGCCCTCGCCCTCCTCCGAGGCGGAGGAGGAGGGGAAGGAGGGGGGGGGAGGGAGGGAGGGAGAGGAGGGAGTAGAGAGGAGGAGGAGGAGGAGGAGGAGGAGGAGGAGGAGGAGGAGGAGGTGGAGGAGGAAGAGGAGGAGGAGGAGGAGGAGGGGAGGGGCGAGGAGGATGGCGGGAGGCTCTGGAAGAAACGTCTGGGTCCTCCGCCCCACTGGGGGGGGGGTCGACGACAGAGGGGGACCAGCTCCACCATCACTGCCTGCCCCTTATCATCTTCCCTGCCTCCCCCCTGGGAAACATCAGACTCATCCATGCATTCTCCTTCACCCTGCCTGCTCACCCAGACGCCCTCCATGTCGTCTGCAAAATCCCCTCCTACAGACCCCCTCCCTCTGCGGGGCAACGACGGTGGGGGGGACCGGCTTGGGGGGGAACCATCAACCTGGATCGGTCGACTCATCGCCGAAAAATTCGGGGATCTTCTGACCCGGGTCAATCCAGACCCGGGTCAGCAAGAAACCGAAAACTGCAACAGATCTCCGCAAACCCGGGTCAGCCAATGTGCGCGGCCGCCTCGCGGCCTCGAGCGGCTCGCTAACCCGGGGTCAGCCAGAGGGGGTCTTCGCAGGATCTTGCAGGATCTGGCGCCATGGCTGACCCCCGTTTGCACTGACCCGCATCTCAATGAAGGGGAACTGGGACACACAAATAAATACACACAAATAACCAGATTCCCTATACTTTCCCATATTTTCTTGGTTTTTGTCTTCCCCCCCCTTCCCATATTTTCCTATATTTTCTGGAGAATCGACGATTAATTGTGTCTGTTTTTTTTTGTTCCTCCTGACTGATCGGGGATAGGCACCCGCCGACGGATCCACACGCTCCCTGGGAGGGGGTGGGCCACTGGGGGTCGATGCCCCTTCACCTCGCGGGCCGAACCCCCCGAACGGGGCCCTCCCCCCGCTCTCCTCCTCTCCCCTCCTCCTCCCCCCCCCCTCGCCCCCCCTCCCCCCTCCTCCCCCTCCTGCCCCCTCCTCCACCTCCTCCCCCCCCCCTCCTCCCCCCCCCTCCCCCTCCTCCCCCCCTCCCACCTCTGGCTCAAGCCGCTTCACCCCCAGCATCTTGGCTCCATGTGCTCGCTCCTGGCGCTGGACGCCGGGCGTACGCTTGGAGTGTCTGCGGGACTCGCCCCAGGAGTGTGGCGAACCGGTGTGGGGAGCGCGGCTGCTGCACGGCGGCCGCGGCAGGCGAGGGCCGTCGAGTCGGCCGACAACCTCGTCAAGCGGCTCGTGAAAGAGAATCGCGTCTTGCAGGAGCAGCTGGAGGAGCTCCAGGCGGTCGTCGGCGACGATCGTCGGCGACGACTCCGAGCTCTCGGCACGGCTCCTGCTTGTGGCACCAGTGCTCGCGGCGGCGATTGCGGGCGGAGCGCCGAGTAAGCTGCAGATTGCGCGGCGGAACACGGCCTCGCACTGCACCCACGTCGAGGCCGGTGTTTTGGAGGTGGCGTCCCAAGCCGAACTGAATCCCATCCAGCGGCAGTCGAAGAAGTTGGAAATGGCTCAGCAGGTGGACAACACGGAGCAGGCCAAGGCGGCAGATGCTGTGCTGACATTGCCCCGCCGTGGTGCGGCACGATGTGCACCTGCGGCACCAGTCTTCCAGAGCGCGACGACCGTGGAGACGGGCCCGGCCAAGACCGAGGCGGCGGCGCTCTGGGCGCCGACTCCGACGACGCCGCCCTCCACCCCTCTCGTGGCCGTGCACGCGCAGACCACGAGCTTCGACATGCGCTCGCGGTCGCGCGGGCGGCCTTTTTCGTGCGGCGCCGTGCGAAGCTGGACGTAGCGTTCCGCCATCCAGCGCCGGGAGGCGAGCGCCGAGCGGGCTCGCTCGCTCGCCGACGCCGACGCCCTGCGAGGCGGCGCGGCGTCTGGCGACATCGGGCCCCCGCGTGGGATGACTGCCCAGCGGGTCGCGGTGCCGTCGGGGCCGACGGACGTCGACATGCTGCTCCGCGAGCTCGGGGTGGCGACGGCAGCCGCAGTGGCGGGGCAGGCTACGCCCACGACGGCAGCTGCAGCCGCACCTCCCCAGAATCGCGATTGCAAGCAGATGTGATGTATCTTGGTCATAGGCGTACAAGCTGGAGGGTATCACCACCTTGTCGGCAGTGTTGGAACGATCCACGTTGTGTCGCCTTTGGAATGGAACATTCGCCCACGGAGGTTTGCGCTATTAGTTCGCTTTCTTCGCCGTGGAGCTCGGAACAGAGTATGTTGTCCCACGCTTTCCTGCTCTCCGTCGCGGATGGCGTCAACGTCGACGCGCTCGGCTTCGAGGTCAGGGACGGGGCACGAGATATGGATATGACATCGTCATTGTTCTCGCTCGCTCACTCACTCCCCTCTCCCACCATCCCCCCAGCCCCCCTCCCTGCCCTGAGCCCCTCCCCTCCTACTCCCTTCGCCCGCGGGTCCCGACGCTGCTTGCCCCAGACACCCCGCCCCTCCCCTCTGAGCTCATGCCCCCACGAGCGCTGCCCCGGAGAACCCCCCCCCTTCGTCCTCTCGTCCTCCTGCCTGTGTGCGACTAGCGGGCGCCAAGGCACGAGGCTCTTCCCACCCCCACCTGCCACCCCTCGCCCGCCCCTCTCCCCCCGCTCTCTGCCCCCTTCGCCTTTCCTGGCCCCGCCACTGGCCCCTCCCCCTGTCCCACCCCTCCTGCCACCCCCCGCATGACTCCCCCCTTCGCCTCCCCCCGTCACCTCACCCCATTCCCCTGCCCCGTCCCCCCGCCTTGCCCTTCCCTGCCACTGGAAACCGACACGTGTGAAAGAACGGGCTCGCAAGCCAGACTGGTACCGAAACAGGGAGCCCACAGTCCCTCCAACTCCTTCCCCCAATTCCCAACTTCCCCTCACCCACCCACAATTCGCACCTCCTGGCCCCCAACGAGGACAGCGGGGGCAACTTGGTATGATCCCATCAGACCGTGTTGCCACCGACCCAATTGAGCTGCATGGTCACGGGGAAGTAATTCAGCCCAGGCTTCGTGTTGACGTAGAGTTGGAAGCCGTTGATGTGGCCGTTGAAACCGCCCTTGAAGTCCGCGAACTCGGGCCGGAGTTCCACGTCCTGGTCGAACACGATGCGCATGCCCCAGACGCAGGTGTGACAGGTGAAGTCCCCGACAACCCCGTAATGAAACTTGCCCCAAGACGGCTCGTACCTCTGAAGAGGAAGAGGTAACGCTGCCGCTACCTTCACCTCGCCTTCGCCTGCATGGGCCTCCCAGGCCGTCCCAACGGCTGGACTGGCCTCGAAATCTGAGTCAGAACGCACCCAAAAAGAGATCTGGGCAGTAGCGCCATGACTACCGTTTGGTTTCCCCAGCGCCTGTCAACGAACACGTGAACTGGCTTCGGGGCGTTCGCCGGGACGCCATCCTTCTTCCAGAGGAGCGCCTCCGCCCGCGTGGCGAAGCGCTGGGCCTCCTCCTGCTTGAAGGGCGAGTGCGAGCCACAGCCCTGAGTCGAAACTGAAGACTTAAGCCTACGCCTGGCAAACACTGGCATCCGCTTCTCGCTTACTCATCATCGCGATCAACACAAGACGGCTCGGCGGGGTGGAGAGGAAGAGCAGACAGCAGAACTGGTCAAACACAACACGTCTCTTATCCAAGATGGCTCTGGAATTGGAACGCATGGCGGCCGAACTGAACCGCGCCTATCCGAACCAGCGTGAACCCGTAGTTGTTTAGCCCGAGCCGAGCCGAGCCAGCTTCGTTCGATGTAAGGCCGAACCAAAACGGAACTTATGATCCTCTGATCCTTTCCGCTCGCCTCTCCTCCTCGTCCTCCTCCTCCTCCTGCTCCGAATCCTCCTGCTGTAGCTCCTCCTCCGCCGCCTCTTCCTCCCCCTGCTCCTCCTCCTCCTCCTCATCCTCCTATTCCTCCTCCTCCTCCTCCTCCTCCTCCTCCTCCTCCTGTCTCGTCCCTCGGAACCCACTCCTAAGCGACCTGAAAACCATCTGGCCCAGCAGAACCTGCTCGAGCCGAACCACCTAGAGATCACTCGGCGGGCCTGAACCGATGGGAAGGTTTAGGATACCAGACCCAACCCTGATGCGCTTCAGAAGCTACGAGAACCGACCCGAATTTGAACTATTCAACTCATCGGGCAGCCCACTGCACGACCCACCTACCCGCACACACGCACACACACACGCACTCCTTCCAATCTCCTACACTCCTCTAATCCCCTCCCCGTCCTCTGTCCTCCTCTTCCCAGTCCAAGCTCTGGAACTCATACTACTCCCCTCCCGCTCTTTCGTCGTTCTCCTCCTCCTCCTCCTCCTCCTCCTCCTCCTCCTCCTCCTTCCATCCCCCTCGTCCTCATCCTTCCTCCTCCCCCCTGCTCCTCCCTCTTGCCTGTCCTCCTTCTCCTCCTGACATTCTCCTCCTGCCCACACGGTGTGGGGAGGAATGGCGGGAGAAGACGGCGACGGGAAGGAGGCGGAGGAGGAGAAAGAGGGCGAGGAGGGGTAGGGAGCGAGTGGGGGGAGGAGGATGTGGTGGAGGGCGAGGAGGAAGGGAAGGAAGAGGCGGGAAAAGCAAAAGCATGCCTGGATCTCTCACGGGCTGCGCTCTGACCAGAATTCCGAGGCGAATCCAGGAGTGGCGACGAGGGTCTCGCAGGAAAACCAAAGGGCAAACACGGGGGAAGGGCAGCGGCATCGATACATGTCCCTGCTCTGGGGAGATGAGGACGTGGTGGAGGTCGAGGAGGAAGGCAAAGAACGGGGAGAGAACGGGTGGAAATTCAGGGAGCGTGGAGCGGGCTTTTCGAGACGCGCCCTGGCGCCAGGCAGGGACGCACACATCCAGGCCAGCACAAATCCGGGTCGGCCAGGGCCCTGTCGCAAAGCCTGGCCCACCGCGTCGTAGCTCCCAAACCCGGATCGGCGGATGGCGCAAAGGGGGAATCGATCCTACGTCGCTGCCGAACCAGTGTCAGCCAAAATGTGTGGGCTGAACCCCCGTTAGCGCTGACGCCCTCAGCATATACGGGAAAAAAGGGCACCATACACAGCAACAAACGTTGCCCCACACCCGTCGCGGCCGCTGCTGGACAGCTGGCCTTCTGTCTCAAATGGACAACACCCGTGGCGACGCCCACGGCGAGCCCTTGCCAAAACTGCTTCCGGGCCTTGTGCGACGAACGAGCAGCACACACCCATACCCATAGGGGGGTCGTTGGGAGAAGGACTGGCTATGGGTATGGGTGCGGGTTGTCCGACCCTGGGGAACGCTCCCGTTCGAGCGGGGATCCCCATCCGACAACACGCACCCATAGCCCTCTCCGACCCCTCTATGGGTATGGACGTGTGTTGTTGGTTCGTCATTGTGCTCAGTCCTGCCGTGCTCATGTCCGTCGTACCCGGTCGCGTGCCCCCCGAGCTGGACCCCAGGGTCTGCGGGCCTGGGGGGGCCTCTCCTCGCTGCCACTCCCCCCCCCCCCCCCGGGGGGGCCCTGGCGGTCACGCTGCAGAGGTCGGACGTCACGGCGAAGCCGGAGCGGGGCAGCTGCAGGAAGGCCTGCGGGGAGGGGGGGACGTATCCACACGGATGGGCCACGGAGTCCCAGCAGGATCGGAGCGAGCAGATCTGTAGCTCCTCTCCCTCGCAGTAGGGCTCGCGGTGCTGCGGAGAGAGGCCGAGGAGCCACCAGAGCATGGCTGGGAAAATCGGGCCAGCAGGGGGCCAGCAAGTTCCGGTGTCCCCAGAGGCTGCACGAGGATGCCAAGGAGAAGGCCACACGATGGCCCACAAAATCATCCGAGGAAATCTGGGCAAACGCCAGGAGCGGTGTGCCGCAAAGGGGCCGCATCCTGCCTCTCCCGCAGTAGTTGGAAAGGCGCGTCTGGGATGCAGCACCCGCCTTCAAGAACAACTCCTGATCCTCTGATCCATCCACTGAATTCTGGATCTCTTGACTGGGCGCCTCGACAAGTCCGACGACTCTACAGTCGGGCTGCTGAAAGAAGGAACGCTAAATAAGGAACGAAGCCCCTTCTTGGCTCTGTGAGCGCCTCCGTGCCCCAGAAGGGTAGGAGGAACAGCACTGGAGGAAAACTGTTCCTTATTTCAGCGTCTTGACTCTACGCTTTCGAGTCTCGGGGCCCTCGCCCTCAAAACCCTCCTCCCTGTAGGACCAACTTCTCCTCCCGCACCGTTCTTCGACTGCCCCTGGACCCGCAGGAGGAGGAGGAAGAGGAGGGGGAGGAGGAGGCGGAGGAGCAGGAGGAGGAGGGGGAGGAGGAAGAGGAGGAGGAGGAGGAGGAGGAGAAGGAGGAGGAGGAGAAGGAGGAGGAGGAGAAGGAGGAGGAGGAGCAGGAGGAGGAGGGGGATGAGGAGGATGAGGGACAACAGAGAGAAGCGAAGACGGCCTCTGGAGGCCGACAATCGGTGGTTCAAAGATGGGGTCCTGAGGGATGGGCTCCTGAGGACAGGGTTGTGGATGCCATGACAATGAACACTCGAACAATCCTCTCATTGAACTAAAGATGTGTTTAACATGTGTACAGCATGTTCTAAACATGATTCAAACATGTTTTTTAACACATGCAAAACAATTTTGAAACATCTGTTAGACATCTGAAAATTATTTGGCAGCATGCTTCCTCTCCATTAATCTACTTCCACAAGGATAGGGAGGGATCCAAGGGTGGGTTCACACGTTTACACTGGTTGAGGCACCTCGTTCTTAGGACCCCATCCCTCAGGACCCCATCTTTGAGCCACCGAGGAAATGCATAGTCAACTACGACTCTACCTTCTCGAACCGCCTGGCCCTAATCCGCTCAACACCTGTCCAAGGACCCCTCCAGCTAAATTGTTCGCGGCGGAACTGACCGTGGCGACGAGAAGCCTCGAGGAGGCCAAGGGAGTGCGAAACTGGAGGGCGGCGACTGTCTCGACTGGCCCATCGCTTCGGTACGATCAAATATGGCACGGAAAGAATGGGTACGATACCCAGCAGCAGTTCCCGTTCATTTGAACAGGACTCGATGTCCGCGCCGCCGCGGACGTTGGTCTTTGAAGACAAAATGCCGCCCGCCCAACCGCGGCCGCTGTCGGTTTTGGACAACATTTGTTGTCGGGCACTGTACTATCTTTTCCGTACCCATTTCGAGCGTCCACAACTCCAGGGTTTGGTTGAATTCGGGCCTCGGCGGCAATTCGGTTCGATCTGGGCTCCTCTGGAATGCTCTCTGCAAAGCGCAACTGCGGGAAAACATCCCGAGGCTGAAGAACCTCCATGAACAAGAGAAAACGTCAAGGAACTTCGAACCGCTGACCTACGGGTCCCTTCGCCAAGCTTTCTGGGCCTCCTGGTAGTCGTAGTCCGCGCGCGTCAGCTCTGCCGGGCTAGTGCAAGAATACTGCGCGCCAATGATGGCGGGGACCGCGTTCTCGGGGTCTCCCGGTCGGTCCGCGCGCCAGATCTCCTCGAGACTCCTCCTCCTCCTCCTCCCTCCTTCTCCTCCTCTGCTCCTCCTTCCGCCCTCCTCCTCTCTCCTCCCTGCTCCTCCTAACTCCCTCCAGCGGTTCGCCATCGTCTCGTGGCACTGTAGCAGTCGTTGTCTCATGCGCTGTGGTGCTTTGTCGTCTAATAATGGAAACCTGAAGCCCCTGTGAGGACTGCAGAAACGAACGATATGCAACGCACGGCCAAGCCAACGCGGGGGCTCGAAGTATATACCAAGTCGTCTGGCCCGTCAAGGAGCTCGGTGTACAGGCGCCCATGCTTCCCAGCCTGTGGGATGCTGGAGTGTCTATGTACCAAATTATTTCGCAGAGTTCCTGGGCTCTCTGGCCGAACAAGCGACGTGGTGCATACGTCTCTTGTGAGGAACATCCTGGCACCCTCGCGCGGCAACTTGAGACGCACTGCACGTCGGTTCCAAATCGGGACTAAGTCGGATGTACGTCGAAATTCGAAGTTCGACGTACATACAGTGTACTGTTCACTGGATGTACGTCGAGCTTACGTCGGAACGTCGACGTGCGAAGGTCTGCTCACGGAGCGGAGGTGTGGACTGGATTCGAAAGCTACCTCGCGCCGCGCGGTGCCTCCGAGATGTTCCTCGCAGCATCTGGCCCAACCGAACGACGACAGAGAACGGAGAGGAGAGCGATCACGGGCAAAAAAGCCAAAGGAACTGGCAAGAACTACCCCCCAAGACGCAAGGTGCGCGGTTCGTGCCTGTGGACGCTAAGATTTACACTGGGCGGGGTGGCCTTGTCTTTCATCGTGGGCATGAGCCCCATCGCGACGCGATCCGCGTCGAATACGCAACAACTCCGTGCCGATGTTCCCGCTTCGCGTCGTCAAATCCATGTCGGATCTGTGTCGAATCCACGTCGGGCCTACGTCGAATCTGGGTCGAACATACGTCGGAGAGCAGAAGGGAGCAGCCATTGTTCCAGAGTTGACGAGGTCCTCCAAAGTTGCAACGTAACCTTTCCACTCTCAGACGGCAACTCTCAGGGCCAAATCTTAATAAAAGGCATATTTGCACGCAGGAGAGAAGGAGGATCAATCACAGCCAGAGGAGGGTGAGCTGGATTAGAATTGTGGGTCAGAGCTGGGCTAGAGCCAGACGAGGAGGCACCAGAGGATGGAAGCCCTGCCAAATCAATGGGTTGACTTAAGACCACTGTCTCCTGAAATTACACTTTGTCGCACACATGTCTCCCCCATGTTCGCGCTCGGGTATCGGCGATGGGCCTGCGACTATGCCATCCCCAAATGGTGCGCCCCCTGGTTCTTCCTTGCGCCCGCGCGTCTGAAGCAAAAAACCATACACAACGACGAGACGCGACACGGTGCCTACCTTCGCGAACCAATGCTGAAACTACCCAGACGGCATTTGGCGCCCACCTTCCCACGCATGTCGCGCGCGCCATGGGCACGAACATCGGTGCCCAAGCGGGGATTACCACTTACTACAGACGGCTTCTCGCACCCCCGAACCCAAACCGGGTCTAAACAGTGATGAAGTCGCAGACTCCCCAGCACACTAACTCGTGGAGCATCAGGATGGAACTAAGATGTGTATAAACGCTGGGTTATGTGAAGCGGAGGGTGAACAAAACACGCTGCGCAACATTACTACGGGTGCATGTCGCAGGCAGGCAATGCATGGTGTGCAACGTAAGACGCTTAATCTGTGGGGTGCGGCATAACATTTAGGGTGATGCTGGTTTGCAGAACGGCAAGCAATCAACTACATTAAATGAAGAAACGTCCCAACCACCCACCGCTTACTTTTCTCACACAACAAACGAAACGTGCAACTACACATTAAAACGTGTTGGCACCGCCCAAACAGGCACAATGATTCGCTGACTCGTTTCATGCACATCCACGGCTCGGCCAGGCGGGTGCTGAAGATGCGATTCTGAAGAATGGGGGCAAATGCAAAGCCACGGCGTGACAACGTACATATGTTTCATTACGTTTATATGTGGATATACACATATGTATTCATATATATATATATACACTTGCGTTTGTCTTGGCAAACTTGATCTTGAAATGCTTCGAGAACAAATGGTTGCTGGATCCGTTCGATTTTCGAGCGTGGGCGCGCGCGCTGCCCGCAATGTATAACTGGACAGCTGAGGCGCGAACCATTCCTGGTTTGAAAGCGGTGGGTTGTGCTTCATTTCGGCATGCCCGCGCGGGCAGGAGAACCCATGGGCGCGCTGTGGCTTCAGCGCATGCGCGCGCAGTGGATCTGCGCGCGCGCAGCGTAACCATGTTCCGAAAACCGACCCCATGAAACATCGGAACTCAATTCGTTTTGGTGGTTGCGACGTCCGCGCGCGAATGGGGGGCGCCATCATGGCTCGCACGGGGCTGTCGTTCCAAAAAAAAAAAGTTGCGGAACGCTTGTACTAACGCGGGTGCAGCACGCATTGTATCCCTTGATATGGATGGGGCGCTATGTTTCACATGAACGGGCTCGACATGGGGGTCGAACCTGGTACTCTTCGGCACCAATAATCAAAATGTTCACAGTAATTTTGTCAACTCATGCGCCCAAGCTCGCGCGAAAAATGACTGCTGATTTAGCACAGCCGATGCGGCCGCGAAGGCGTTTGCCAATAATGGTTTTTCAAGGAGTCGTAAACGCCGCGCGGGCGCGCGGGAAATGAAGCGCGGGTCGGCAACCCGGGCGGCCGCGGTATCGCGATGACGTCGACAACGGCAACAGTGAGAATGATAGCAGCGATGGTGGTGGCGATGATGACGATGACGGCGGCAAAGCCAGTGCCTAAATGACGATGATGTCCACGCGTGGATGCTGAAGGTGGTTCTCTGATGGTGGAGGCAACGCCAACGATTGGCGATGACGATAAAACGACGATGCAAATGAACTGTTGCGGGCGTCGGTGGGGAAATGGGTGGGCAGAAACTCAAGAAACCGGGCAAACTTTTAGGTGAAAAAATGGTTGTTCATGTCTGTTCCACGTTTTTTGAAACACTCTGTCTTGAAATGCTTCGGCATGCGGATCCACGCTTTGAGCGCATGCAAGGTTAACGCAAATAAAAGACAACGCGTGGTGAGATGAGAATGCTGGCTCTGGGCGAACCTGCTGAACTGTACGTCGCATAAGTTCAGGAACTGCGCGCGGGCAGACAGTCTACAAGGTTCGCACTGGGAAACTGCAGTGTGGTGTTCACGCTGTATGTCGCATTGCTCTGGTGCTTTTGGGATGCTTTTGATATTCGTGAGCGTGTGGACCTCGTGCCATTGCGCCATGTCTCGCCAGGGAGTTGTGATTACATTGTATGCTGAAATGAACGACGCTGCACGCATGGTACTATTTGACAGTGGCGACAGGGGGGATGCTGGTTGGCCTTAGAAGGTATGAGTGCATGCGGGAACTGAACGATGGAGCCAGCACGCATGCAATGTGCAAGTGCCCCAGGGTGCCCCGACAAGTCTGGGCTCGGAGGGGTCGAATGTTCCATCTGAGTGCTCACTCGTGAGATGCCAACTCCAGCGCTCGCGCAAACATCCCACCACATGCGGCCGCGATTGCAATGATTCCTCGGCGCTGGCTGGCGCATCTGTGCGGCTGCGCTGCCGCGCGCAAACCGGCGCGCAGAACGGCCAGCTAGTTTGGCACAGCCGGTGCAGCCGCGATGGCGCTTACCGATGGGGGCTTCCCAGCACATCTCAGAGGCCGCGCTGGCGGGCGCTTCAGTGCGGGTCAGTGACTCGGGCGGGCGCGGTATGAGGCTGACGTCGAGAGAGGTGGCAACAAGGATGATCGTAGTGGCGATGACGGCGACGGCGACGGCAAGGCCAATGACGGCGCCGTTGCTGGTGACCACGATGACGATGATGGTGTCCATGTGTCAGTGGTACAGGTGCTTCAATGATGATGTCGAGAATGGCGGCGACTCCTACGACGAAACGGCGACGTGATGCGACGGCGCTGATGAGTGTGGTGGTGACGAAGTGCGCGCGCGCGCGGACATACAACAAACCTTGCAGACTGTTGTTGAACAACGCGTGATGTCCATATGATATTGGGGAGGTCTATCTTGAAATGGCTCGACCACGTGGTTTTGAAAAGATTCGGGCACGCTCGCGTGGCGGAGCGCGCTTGTGGGTCGCCTGGTCTTCTTTGATGCGTATCCGCGCCCTGGTTGCATGGTGGATCAACGCGGATGCATTGCGTGGTGAAGTGCGAGCTGGGGTTCTGGACGAGAGTGTTATCCAATGGTTGTCCCCCGTTCCAGCGAATGCGTGTGGGCAGACCAGCTGCAAGACTCACACTGGAAAACCTATGCAATTCTTGAGCTTGTCACAAAGAATGCCGCTGACATACTTGAACGCTGGTGACTGTTGGTATGAATTCGACATGTGCGCGCGCGTGTTAACTTTGCGCACAAGTTTGCGAGGTACGTTTGAAATAAGCGAGTGTGCGCGCACACTTGCTGTTGACAGTAATGAAAGGGATGCGATGGTGGGGCTGGGATGATAAGATTTCGCATGGGAAAGTAACTACAACGCAGAATAAAAAGCAGTACCCCAGGGAGGGCGTGAAGTTTAGGCTCGGGAGGGGGGTGGATCCCAGCATTCTCTTGACAGAAGAATCAGCTGTGGACATCCTCGCGGGACCACCTCCGATGCTCCTGGTGGCAAACCTCAAGAGGCCAAGTGCGCAATACAACTCTCAACAGCCGAAGTGGCGCGCGGACCGTGCCCACGCAGATCCATGGCCCGGGCGGGCGGGCGACGATGGTGACGAGGACATCGGCGACGAACACGATAATGACTTATCAACGGGCGAAGAAGGGTGAACATTCTTTGATTCGCCGTCAGGGACGGCTGTCCCACGGCGGTTTGAGAGCCTATACCCTTATGCTGCCACGTAAGGGTCTAACTTTCCAGCCGCCCTGGGACAGGCGTCCCTGGTGACAGACAAATGTATGTCGTACCGTTCTCCGCCCGCTAAAAGATAATGATGGTGGGGGTGATCAGGACCAGGAATAAGACATCAACGATGGCGATGACGAGCATGATGGCGACGGTGGCCATGATGCCGGCGACGTTGGTCACTGATGGCGGCGGTGACAGCAATTATGACGTTGACCATGATGATAAGGGTGGTGCGGATGAGGATGGTGAGGATGCTGAGGAAGCGCGCGCGTGCAGAAACTCTGGCAAATTTAGCGTTGACCGACATTTGGGTTTTCATATGTGTTTGGACGCATCTATCTTGGAATGCCGAAAATGCGCGGGAATGCGCGCGGGAATGCGTCGTGTGGTCCGCATGGTGCTGTTTTAGAGTTGGTTGGCGCGCAATGAATTAGTTCGACATGCGCGCGCGTGGCCCGCATGGTCTGATTTGGCAGACGGGCCAATCAGCTGCAGCGAATGATTCGGGCGAGTGCGCGCGCATTCATGTGTGGTGCTTGATTGAGCAAGTGAACGTGTTGACATGACTTGTTTCGAGCCAATTGACAAAACTGGTCTTGTACAGATGGCGACATGAACGCGCTCGCGTGCCCCAAAAGATCGCATGTGACGGAAATAATTACAACACGCACTTGTGATATCAATACATGTGCCGTGACTTCTGAGCTTGCTGCAAAAGTTGACAAAGGCGAGTCTTGGATTGAACGTGCGTCGTGTGCTGTGTGCCCTGGCCTCCAACACGTACTATTATCTTAGCCCAGTTAGAGAAGCTCTGCGAGAGGGCGGACGGGTGGAACCCCATGGGCGAAGCCACTTGGGTGGGCCGTGGAACCCCGTTGGTGGGATCCCATGGCGATCACCGCTAGACCGGGCAACCACCAAGCCCACTGGGACCCTGCGCAGGGCGCAAGGACCCAAGGGTGCCCACCGCTATCGGGACTCACGGGACGCAAATAAGACCCCACCAAGACTGAGCACTGCCTGGGGTGCAACAATTCCGCTCAATGTCTGGATCGCGTCTCCTGCATATGATACACCATGTCGATCGACACGCAGCCGTCGCCACTGAGCTCGAAGAGAAACGCGCGAACACCCTTCAGCGGGACGAGCGGGCGCAGCATGGAGTTCCAGTAGATGGACACCGTGTCTGCGGCCACGTCGCCCGGCCTCTCGCACGTCTGTGCTGTGTGAGACGGCGCCCACTGCCAGCTCTGGCTACCCGCCGCGGTGACCTGGATCAGACCCACGGGCTGGTCCGGGCGCCGAGTGATCTGCTCCACCCCGAAATGGTAGCAGAGCGCGCTGAAGCCCTCGGTGCCCTCCTCCGACCAGGTCCGGCGCCAGGGCGTCCGCGCGGTGAAGTTGTCCTGCGGAATGGCGCAGCAGGCCACCTGCTGGACGCTCATGATGCGGAGGTTGTCACCCATCTTCTCGGCTGTCTGGAGGGCCTTGCCGCTATGGCGCGACGCGTTCAGGGGCATGCCCATGTTGTCCCCGCCCATGCACACGTACACGTCGCCGACCAGCACGTCCTCGAGCTCGATGTTGGACGTGGCCGACGCGATGGTGATGGCGGTCGGCGACGAGGAGACCTCCATGGCTGGCAGCGTCACCGTCCACCTGACATCACCCTCCTCCTTGTCCTCCTCGTCCTCTTCCTGCTCATTCCGCTCCTGAACATCACCTTGTCCTCAACCTCGTCTTCAACCCTTCCTCCTCAAACGTGCTCCCTAGGATCCCCAACCGCCGCCCAGGCCTTGTGCCTCCCAGAAAACCTCAGGTCGAACCCGCCCAGAATGCCCAGAACACCCTGAATCGCCCTCAAAGCCGCTCCTTGTCCCCCTCTTCGCAGGGGGGGCAAGAAGCGGCTTTGAGGGCGCTTCAGGGTGTCGTCGCCGTCGTCGTCGCCGTCGTCGTCGCCACGAAGATCCAGGCAAAGCGCTCTCGGAACGCACTCAGCCTCCAGCTCGGGGGAGGCATCTTGGACCCCCATCGCGGAGGTTTCGGTGTACTCTCCTCGTGTACGAGGTTAACTACATAATTGATGTACCCCAAACTTGTCATTTCGTCAAATCTACCAAACATTGATAAATCGACTGCGCCGTAGATCTACGGAACGGTTCTACGTAACAGTTCGACGTCTCGGTCGCAAATTCGACGACAAAACAATTATGGAGCAAATAGTTCTGCAGTAGATCTCCTATTCGACTTCTCCTTCATTCTCACAAGCGGCACAAATATCCAAGTCCATGCCGTGGATACGCGGTCGCACGGATGTGTTCCGCTCGGGGCAGTCGCGAAAAACACGGTTCGTATCCAGGGGATCGCGGCCCAGGGACCCGACCCGCGACGCTGTCGATGCGGATACGCTTCCCGCCCAGGGAATCCGACCCCCCCTCCACCTGCCATCCGCTTCCAGCTCGGCGCTCACCGACACCTTTTTAGACGCCCAAAATAAGTGCGGAAAAATGGGTAGGTGGCCTTGTGCCTCAAATGGGCACAGGCCGCGGCGACACCGACAGCGAGCCCTGTACAACATGATCAGAAACTGCCGTCGGTCTTTGTACCCATTCTTTCCGTACCCATTTCGATCGTCCCGAACCCTGTTCATGGTGACGGAGACCGGCCCCGTCCCCTGCTGGGCCAGACCCCACATCGTGAACTGCACGCCCGCTGGCACCACCATGTGGGAGGCGAAGACCTGAACTGGCGGAAGCGCGCCCCCGCCCTCTCTCCCCTGCCCCTCGCTGGCACGCCCGTGGGGGAAGGGAGAGGGCCTTCTCAGAAGGCGGCGGAGCCTCGCAGAAGCCCTCGCGCCTGCTGTGAAAAGCTTTGCGTCATCGGAGAGGGCTTAGAACACTTCTCAGAAGGCCCGGGGCCTTTCGAACCTTCTGCTGGGAAGGCCCGCCCCCTCTCACTTCCCCCACGGGGCTCGCCGCCGAGCCCTCCCACGCCGACTCATCATCCGACTCCTCCGCCGCGACCTCTCCTCATTCCTCGCTCCCACGCCTGCCCCTCCCACGCCTGCCCCTGCCCCATCATCCTCCTTCACCGCTACCTCTCACTATGATCCTCAGAACTTTTGCTCGCGCCAACGTGTGCTGGTTGGTCGTCCACCGAAGCCCTTCAATACGACGAAGGAACGTAGTGCAACGATGGCCAGCACAGGCCAAACGGGGTAAACACCCACTACAATAATACGAATCCTGAGGATTATCAGCTTTCCTCCTGGTTCTTCTTCTCCTCCTCCTCTTCTCCCCCACCTCGTCTTCCTCAGGCTTCCCTCCCAGATCCCCGACGTCGCGATACCTTTTCTCATCGCCGACCTCATGAAATATGCACCTGTGTCCCCGGGGCCTGTTGTCCATCCTGGGCCGTCTTTTGACAGCCCAGGGCCCGGAGTGGGCCCCCAGAGGCCGACAACAGCCAAACAATTTCCGTCGTGATTTCCTTCGCAGCGAGAAAAGGTGAGGCTTCTCCGCCCTTTCCTCCTTCTCCTCCGCCTCCTCCTCCCCCTCCCTCTCCTCCTCCACTGAGTGGCAACGTTAGGGCGGGATCAGCTCACTGGGGGAACCATCGACCTGGAATCGGCGATACATCGCCGATGCATCGGAGATATGCCCCCGATAGCAAATCTGGATGGTCCAAGGCAGGGTGGACTATCGGCCATCGGTGATACATCGGCGATCGACTGTCGATGCATCCCTTGCCGGCGGCCGTTTGGGACGATCCGGGCACCTCTGAAACGTTCGGCGGGGCGAAGCCGCCGGAACGCACCCCGAGGCCAGCAAGCCGACGAGAACCGACGAGAACGCCCGAGAACCTAGAACCCCGAGCCTGTGCCCCACTAGCGTTGCGCCGCCCCCAACGTTGCGCCGCCTCCTCCTACTTCTCTTCCTCCTCCTCCTCCTCCTCCTCCTCCTCCTCCTCCTCCTCCTCGTCCTCGTCCTCGTCCTCGTCCTCCTCCCTCCTCCTCCTCCTCCTCCTTCTCCTCCCCCTCCTCCTCCTCCCTCCTCCACCTTCTCTTCCTCCTCCTCCTCCTCCTCCTCCTCCTCCTCCTCCCCCTCCTCCTTCTGGGCAACCCGCAACAGCCTGGGGCGTCAACGAACGGCGAGTCTACGCTCGCCCGCCCGTTCGCGCTGGCCAGCATGCCAGAGAGCGCGAGGGGCAACCAGCGTGCGCAGGCACGAACGCACAGAAGCAGACCACCTGCCTCTACATGGCCTCCTCCTCGACCTCCTCCATCTCATCCTCCTTCTCCTCCGCCCTCTCGTCGCCCTCGGGCCTCGCGCAGTGCTCGTCGCACCCCGAAACCCCGCGGCCAGCGCGCGTGGGGGTCAGGAGGAGGAGAAGGAGGAGGGGGAACGAGGAGGAGAATGAGGAAGAAACGGATGAGGAGGAGGAGGGAAAGGATGAGGAGGAGGCGGAGGAGGAGGAAGAAGGAGGAGGAAGAGGAACCGGAGGAGGAGGAGGAGGAGGAGCGGGAGGAGGAGGAGGCGGAGTAGAGGGAGGAGGAAGTGGAGGAGCAGGAGCAGGGCAGGAGTAGGAGGAAAAGGATGAGGAGGACGAAGACTGAGGAGGGAGGAGGGGTAGGGGGAGAAGGAAGAGGAGGAGGACAAGGAGGAGGAGAGCAGGGGCAGGAGAGGGAAGGGGAGAAGGAGGAGGAGGAGAAGGAGGATGAGAAGGAGGCGGAGGGAGGAGGAGGGGGAGGAGGAGGAGAAGGAGGAGGACGAGGAGGAGGAGGAGGAGGAGAGGAAGAGGAGGAGGCGGGGAGGAGGAAGAGGAGGAGGAGGAAATGGAGCAGAAGCGAGGAGGAGGAAAAAGGAGGAGGAGGAGGAGGAGAAGGAGGAGGAGGAGGACAAGGAGGAGAGAGGAGGGGGAGGGAATGAGGAGGAGAGGAGGAGGAGGAGGAGGAAGAGGAGAAGGAGGAGGACAAGGAGGAGAAGGAGAAGGAGGAGAAGGAGGAGAAGCAGGAGCAGGAGGAGGAGGAGGACGACGAGGAAGGAATAGGGAGGAGGGGGAGGGAGAGGGGGAGGAGGAAGAGGAGGAGGAGGAGGAGTAGGAGGAGGAGGAGGACGAGGAAGAGGAGGAGGGGGAGGAGAAGGAGGAGGTGGAGGAGGGGGAGGAGGAGGATGAGGCGGACGAGGCGGAGGAGCGGCCTCGTTGGAAAACAACCGTTTGAAAACTCTAAAGAATGCCAAAGCATTGTTCTCGGAATTCCAACGCCACAGATCAACCTGACGGTGGCGTCTGGGCGATCCAGAATCGTGCCAGAACGCCATTGCTGGGACTTGACTTCAACGCAGCGAATCAACGGAACAGTTGCACCCGCAGAATCCAGAATCCTTCCAAAACATAATTTCTGGTACGTTGATGATGGGAATACGGGGATTTCTTGCAAACCTTTCAAACGAATGTGCGCGGCGCTGAGCCGAGAACCACAGGTTGAAAAAGACTCGCCCTCACTGCGTGAAACTCTTGGAAACCTTTTGTAATTAGTGTGCGCGGCGCTAAGGCGAGCACTACATAATGGCAGCGATTCGCCCTCAATATGCGAAGAAGCTCCTTAGTTTATTGAAGCAAAGAAGACTGTGCGCCGAGCGCTAAGGCAAGAGCCACAGTTTGAAACCGACCCCCCTCCATCTGTGAGACTGTTGCGAATCCTTAAGCTTCAGAATCAATGATGGTGAGGAAGTCCCAAGCGAAACGCCGGGCCCGCCCTACACACCCGCCTCGGGGTGCGACAGAGAAAGTTATAAAGTCCTTAACTTCCAAAGAGCAGGCTTCCGAAGTGCCAACTTGAATCTTCAGCCTTAAGCTTGCGCTTGAGCTTAGTCCTGAAGCATTGGCTTAGGATTCGGGCGAGAGTGGCTTAGGGAAGGTCCAGGGAGGCAGCGCGCCAACCACGACGACCACCGAAACACAATCTGTGTTTGAACTCCAATGGTTTTCGCATTGTCACTTTTTTGCATCTGGTCTGCCTGGTCTGGTTGGTCAGGTTTGAGCTTCGTCATGAAGCCTTAGTTTAGGATTCGGGCGAGTGGGGTTCGGGGGAGGTTGAGGGAGGCAGCGCCAACCACGACGACCACCGAAACACAGTTTGTGTTTGCATTGCAATTGTTGTTGTTGGTATTGCAATTGTTTTGCATTGCAGCTTCCGTTTGCATTTCACGTTTTGTTTTCATCTGGTCTGGCTGGTCTGGTCTGGTTGGTCTGGGATTCGTATTGGAACTTTAGCTTAGGATTCGGGGCATTTGTTTTTGTTGCATGGCAGTGGTTGTTTTCATTGCAGTTGTTGTTTGCATCTGGTCTGGCTGGCCTGGTCTAGCTGGCTTGGGCTTCGTCCTGAAGCCTTAGCTTAAGCGTTTGATTTGCAATTCATTTGCTTTTGCATCTGGTCTGGCTGGTCTGGTCTAGGTGGTTTGAGCTTCGTCCTGAAGCCTTAGCTTAGAGTTCGGGCGATGGCTTTTGCATTGCATGTGTGTTGGTTTGCAGTTCGTTTGCATTGCAGCTTCTTTTGGATCTGGTCTGGCTGGCTGGTCTGGTCTGGCTGGTTGGAACTTCGCATTGTAGCTCTAGCGTAGGACTCGGGCGAAGCGTTTTTCTTTGCATTGCAGTTTTCTGCATGGCATTTGTTGTTGCAATGTTGTTTGCATTGCGGGTTTGTTGCATCTGGTCTGGCTGGTCTGGTCTGGCTGGTTTGAGCTTTGGCATGAAGCCCTAGATTGGGATTTGGGATTGTTTGCAGCGTAGTGTTTTGGCATTGCAGTATTTGTTTGCATCTGGTCTGGCTGGTCTGGTCGGTCTGGCTGGTTCTGGTTCTGGTTCTGCGGGGCCTATAAAGGCTGGAGGTCGGTCTGGCTGGTCTGGTTGGTCTAATTGGTCTGGTTGATCTGGCTGATCTGGTTGGTCTGGCTGGTCTGGTTGGTCTGGCGGGTCTGGCTGGACTGGTTGGTCTGGCTGATCTGGTTGGCCTGGTTGGTCTGGCTGGTCTGGTTGGTCTGGTTCGTCTGGTTGATCTGGTTGGTTGCCCGGCTTGGTCTGGCGCGGTTGCTCCACTGCCTATGGTTGGTCTGGTTTGTCCGATTGGTCTGGCTCGTCTGGCCCACAGAGTGCTTCCGGATCCGCTCTCGGCTTGCAGGTCTCATTGGCGCGGGCGCGAAGAGCGGATCTTGCAGGACGTCAGAGTGGCTCCTTGCTGCCTTCCTCTGGCAGCTTGGTCTTGGATGAGTGCTGCCTTCTTCGGCCAAGTTTGTGCCAAGCAGCGACAGCCAGTTCCCAGCAATGCCAGGCTATGCAACGCCAATACCAAGCCACGATGCCAGGCAATGCTAGCCAGCGCAAAGCAGTGCCCATCAATGCCAAGCAGTGCTTTGCATTGCGCTTCTTCCCATCACCGACCTTGGGCCCTCCTGGGATCGAGAGCCGTGGGCGCAGAAAGGGGAGCAGAAGGCGGGGCCCCGAGGAGACGCGGAGCAGACCGAGGCCAGGGCAGGTACCGGTGTTGGAAGAGGCGACGGCTGCTACAAAAAGAAAAGCAAAAGGAAGGAATGAGGAGGAGGAGGAGGAAGGATGAGGAAGGAATGTGGGGGAGGAGGAGGAGGAGGAGGAGGAAAAAGTGGAAGGACGAGGAGGCGCAGGAGAAGGAGGATGAAGGAAGATCAAGAGGAGGGATTCCCCCCTTTGCAATGGGGACAAGCGGGTCCAACAACGGCGAGGGGGTACGTAGAAGTACGGGTACCTTTTCCTCCTCCGAGAGAGGGAGGGGCAGGTCCCGACCTTGCGCCGGGACCGGCTCTTCTCCCTGCGAAGTTCCTCGGCAGCCCCGGGTCCCGTGGAGGGCCCTGGGAGGCCGAGAACGGCGATTACCTCAGGACCCGTGCTCCTAGTCGTGGCCCTGCCTCCTCTGGGCCCGCCCCTCCTCCCGCCGACTGCCTGCCCCATCCCTTCCCCCCCGTGCCTACTCCCGCCTTTGCAGGGCTGCAGTGCCCACCCTGCGCCGCGGCGGCGCAGCTGAGTCAGGGAGGGGGCACACAGTCGGGGCGTTGACCTAAGGAACCCTAAATAAGGAACGAGGCCCCTTTCTCCCATAAGTTGAACTTCGATTTCCCATGGGAAACCACAGGAGTACCGAAGGTACCCTGCAGAACAAGCAAGGAACACCGAGCCCCTCCCCAACGAAAAGTGTTCCTTCTTCAGGGCCCCGACTGTACCGTCGGACCTGGGACCAGAGAACACCCTCCGAGAACGTAACACCCTCCACCACCCAAACCACACAGAGTACGAAGCCAGGACGAGGACGAATCTCGACGAGGAGTTGAATCGGACATCCCTGAGATCCAGCGGCTCTGGAGGATGCATCGGGCACCGCGGCCGTCCTGGAGCGTGCCAGCACGCTCAGAGAAAGCTCTGGCACGGATTTCTCCTCGTCCTAGCCCCGCCCGAATCGGACGTGCCTGGGGAAACCAAAAGGCACCGATATGGCTACTTACTCCCCAGACCTCTCCCGGGATGCGTTCTGACCAGGACCTCGGGGCGAACCCAGCGGTGGCGACAGGGACTTCCCAGGAGGCCCACCAGGGGAAAAACGAAGGAAAGGTAGCATCATCGATACCTCCTCCTCCTCCTCCTCTGAGCGTCACCGCCCAGGGGAAGGTCCCTACCGACGGGCTCTCGGTGCCGCTGGTCTCCGTCTCTTGAACAGGGACCGACCGTCCCGGCATTCCTATAGTCATACCACGACATGTTCTTAGAACCCAAAGATGCTCTAAGAACAAAAACAATGTTCTTAGAACACAAACCCCATGTGCTAAAACGAGACAGTCCCAACCAGAAATGTTCTGAGAACATGTCCTGGAAACCACACAGGGTTCTTAGAACATTGTTTGGTAGGACTATAGGCGAGCCAGGACGCTTCGCCACTGTTTGAGTCTCTCCTCTGAGGCGAGCCCGCCGCATGCTCACCCGCCTCCTCCGCAGGGGCCGGCCCCGAGGCACGGGCGCCGCGCACCGCCAGGCCGCCAGGGTGCGGCCGAGCGCCGAGCCCCTGGAAATCCTGTCCTGCACTCTCCCTCCCCTCCTCCTGCGCTCCTCTTCCCCGCTCCTCCTGCTCCTCCTGGCCTCCTCCTCCTCCTCCTCCTGGCCTCCTCCTCCTCCTCCTCCTTCCTCCCTCCTCCCTCCTCCCTCATCCCTCTCCTCCTCCCTCCTCCTCCTCCTCCTCCTCCTCCTCTCCTCATCCTCCTCCTCCTCCTCCTCCCTCCTCCTCCTCCCCCTCCTCCTCCCTCCTCCCTCCTCCTCCCTCCTCCCTCCTCCGTCTCCCTCCTCCGTCCTCTCTCCTCCTCCTCTTCCTCCTTCTCCTCCCCCCTCTTCCTCCTCCAACTCCTCCTCCAACACCTCCTCCTCCTCCTCCTCCTCCTCCTCCTCCTCCTCCTCCTCCTCCTCCTCCGCTCCTCCGCCTGCTCCTCTCCTCCTCTCCTCCTCCTCCTCATCCTCCTCCTCCCCTCCTCTCCTCCTCCTCCCTCCTCCTCCTCCTCATCTCCTCCTTCTTCTCCGCCTCCTCCTCATCTCCTCTTCTTCTCCTCCTCCTCATCGTCCTCCTCCTTCTCCTCCCCACCTCATCTTCCTCCCCCTCT